ATCAGTAAGAAAAAGGTAACTTTAAAAACTGGCAAAAGTAAGCAATATACTTTTATATAACTACAGGTCAAAGAAGATATTACAGTGGAAATTAGAAAATATTTTAAACTTAACAATAAAATATGACATTTGTAAACTTAGGAATGCACCTAAAGCAATAATTAAGGAGAAATCTACAGCTTTAAATGCATATGTTAGAAAAATAAATATTGAGAGATCAATGATCTAAGCTACTAAGTCAAAAGTCTAGAAAAATAACAGCTACTTAAACTAATGAAAGTAGAAGAAATTAGGAAGAGAGTAGTTAGTGAAACACAAAACAAATATACAATAAAGAAAAATCCACAAAATCAAAAGTTGATTCTTTGCAAAGATTATGACATTGATATACCTCTAACACAGACCAAGAAAAACAAAGAAAATAAAAATTACCAATATATTTAAAAAATTTTTTTATCCTCACCCGAAGACTTTTTTTTTTTTTTTTGCATTTATCTTCAGATAGAGTAGGAGGGAGAGAAGGAGGAAGAGAGAAAGAGAAACATCGATGTGAGAGACACATCGAATGGTCGCCACCCACACAACCCCAACTGGGGCTGGGACAAACTGCAACGGAGGTACATGCCCTTAGTGGGAACCGAACCCGGGTCTCTCTGGTCCATGGGCGGATGCTCTAACCACTGAGAAAAACCGGCCAGGGCCAAATTACCAATATCTTGAAAAAGAGCACATCGTTCCAAATTCTATAGCCTTTAAGTAATACGATAATAGCTTTATAGCTATTTGTAATTTATAATTTAGATGAAATAAACAGATTCCTGGAAAAACACAGCTTACCAAAGATGAAATAAAAAGTCTGAACAGTACTGGAGCCATTAAAGCAGCTGGGTTTTAATAAACATGCTGGAGAACAAAGGGAATATGGGATGAGACGTATAAGAAGAAAGTTACAAACATCACCTATGGTCTCATGACCAAGCTACAAAAGCAAAGAATGTAGCAGCTATGCATATTTCTCCTTTTCTTATGTATATAAACACCAATTTATTTGTCTCTTCTTTTCCAATTACTATTTGATGTAGGAATCAATGCTATAATTTATTTGGTTTATACAATGTACATAAATTTATACAACTTATTCTTGGATATTTGTGGTTTCCTCATAAGTTTAATGTCCTTTGTCACATTGTAAAGTTTCAGCCATTTTTTCTTCAAATATTTTTCCAGCCCCACATTCTTTCTCTTCTCCTTCTGGAACTCTGATGACATGAGTGTTGTCTCTTGTGAGTGTCTCACAGGTCTGAGGCTCTGATCACTTTTTAAAAAATCCATTTTCTCTCTGTTGTTCAGAATGAATAATTCTTACTGATTTATCCTCAAGTTCACCAATTCTTTCCTGTTATCTCCACTCACCTATTGAACCTATCCAGTAAGTTTTAAATTTAGGTTTTTCTAATTTTCAGTTCTGAAATTTCCTTCTGGTTCTTCTTTATATTCTCTGTTTCTTTGCCAAGATATTCTATTTTTCCATTTGTTTCAACAGGCTCATAATTGCTTATTAGAGGATTTCCCCCCATTTATCTGCAGACAGAGTGGGAGATAAGGAGGGAGAGCAAGAGAGAGAGAGAGAGAGAGAAAGAAACATCCATGCGAGAGAGACACATAGACCACCTCCCGCACGACCCCAACCAGGGCTGGGGACAAACCGCAGCCAAGATATGTGCCTCTGACCAGAATCAAACCTGCAACCCCTTGGTCCACAGGCCAACACTAACCACTAAGCCAAACTAGTCAGGGCTATTAGCGGATATTTTTGTGACAGCAGTTTCAAAATCCTTGTCAAGCAACTCCAACACTTGTGTCATCCTGGTGTTGGCATTTGTTGATTATCCTTTCTCATTAAAGTTGCCATTTTCCTGGTTCTTGGTATGATGAATAGTTTTGTATTATATCTTAAACATTTTGAGTATTACTATCCGAAGTCACTTCCTTTTAAATTTTCTACTTTAGCAGGGAGTTTGGGTTCAGAATGCATGACCTGGCCCATTTTTATGGGCTGTGGATTGAAAAACAATTTAGTTTTATAGTGCTATTCTGCTCCCCCCAACTTGTGTGCTATCCAGAGGCTAATTTGAAGCCTGGGTAGTATTCTATACCATAGTTTATTTCTCAAAGCTTTCACTGTGTTGATGCGAGTCAGTAATATACATGGGCTGCTCTGAAGGGAGAGGGAGGAGACTGTGCCCTGGACTTCATATGCAGATTTAAAGAATCCCTTTCAGCTTCCTCCTTCCCATAATTTTCCCTCCACTCTCCATCTGGGAAGGGATGAGGTGCTGCCTCTTTGCTGTCTGTTGCTTGGTGCAGGCTGGGGACTATGGACAGGACTCCTCCCCAGCAGGCTCTGCAGCTGCCTCTTTGCTGACGTTCACTTCAGGGCCTGGATGGTTGACTGGGTCCATCCCACAGTGTCCACCCTGGAGAGGGGTCAGGGAAAGAGCGCCTTCTCTGCTCCTGTCTCCTGTCAGTGCAGGGCGGCTGGTCAACAAGGCTCTGCGTGACCATCTCCCCTGGTCGCAGCATCTGGATGGCAGGGGTATGTACGGCTTCTTTCATGGTGTTCGCCTGGTGGAAAGTGGGTATAGTCCCATTTGTCGGTTCCATTTGCTGGGCTGCCCTTTCCTCTTTGGCAAGAAAAATAGGGTTTTACTTGTTTTTTGTTTACTTTTGTTTGTTTGTTTATTTGTCTTTATCTGTGCTTATAAATGTTAAGACCTTCTCTAGCACTGAAGCTGGGGAAGGAAGAAGGGAGAGAGGGTGGGAGAGAAAAAGGAAGAGGGAGGGAGAGGAGAGAAAGGGAAGAAGGGAAAAACGCAAGGGAACTCATTGTTGGAGTATCCCTCAAGTCCTGAGGTTCCTACTCAGTCTATCTTCTTTTTCAGGAACGGTGAAATGTGCTTACTTGATCTTGTCCAGAATTGAAAGTCTACAACTTATTCGTTAAGTGACAAATATTCAAGCAGAATTGTGACTAAATTAAAGAAGGAATTACTAATTACCCAGAGATTGATATAATGACTACAGGGGCTTTGTATCTCCCCTTCTGGGGGAGACAGTGAGAGGTCCTATGTATAACGAACAGTTGCATCTTCTTAGTAAAAGAATAAAGTTGTGCCCTGGCCAGTTTGGCTCAGCGGTTGGAGCGTCGGCCTGCGGTCCGGAGAGACCCGGGTTCGGTTCCCGCTAAGGGCACATACTTCGGTTGCAGTTTGTCCCCGGCCCTGGTTGGTTGTGCGGGTGGCAGCCACTCAATGTGTCCCTTCACATCAATGTTTCTCTCTCTCTCTCCTTCCTCTCTCTCCCTCCCACTCTATCTGTTCAAAAAATGGAAAAATATCCTCGGGTGAGGATAAAAAATAAATAAATAAATAAAAAAGAATAAAGTTGTTGCTATTACCTTAGGGAAGTTCAAGTCTGTGCAGAAGAGTGTGTGCAGACACTGAGTAGCCAAAGGGGTAGACAGTGCCAGTTACTACACTGTTGTCTTGCAGCCCACCCCTGCTTTGTGATGCTGGGGCTGACTCCGCAAGAAGAGAAAGCGCTCCATCCGTCTTGGCTATATCATTCTGAATCTTCCCTTTTCCCACAAAAATAGATACATGGATATAGTTTGAAGCCATTATCAGCAATGAAGAGAGAAAGCCTGGTAGAAAAAAGTTGGTCTTTTGCCATGAGTAGGCTAGGGAAACAAGCAGGTAATCTGCTTTTTTAAAAAATGGGAATGAGAGTATACTAAAAATTATCCAACACCCTAGATGTGATAACGTAAAAGACATCTCTATGAATGAAAATAAGTCCAAAAAGATGAATGTATGTTTGATCAACTACTCTGATGCCTTTCACTGACCAATTAACTACACCGACCAGGGCATCACACAGCAGCCTACTTCACAATGATTTCTTTTACACCCAAACGGAACTATATACATATATATAGTTTAAAAAAATAACCTCGGAAAACATGAGCTTTTAATTTTTGGTGGTGGTGGTGATAGGGGAATTCCTATTTCTTCTCCTTAAAGTCCACTTTTAATTTAGGAGTTAGCAAATAAATTTCCAAAATAAATATAGGTAATCATTTTGAAATATGGCATCATTTAATAAAATTTCATGGTTTCTTAGAACCTCAAATTCAACAAATCCCAAGTCAACTAACGAAGCTGGTTACTTCTGTCCCAGAGGCAGGCTGACTGCAGGGGATAAACTTCGCCTGTGCCCCTGTGCCGGCTGGAGCTGATTTATGCCCTGTTTTGCTCAGGTCTGATACCACCATTCACCCTGGCAGCCACAGGCCTGTCCTGTCGCCATCGTGCATCGCACGTACATCCTCCCTGACAGAGCTCATCAATTCCTACTGCTTTTCACCAGGCCTCGGCTCCGGCACTTTCCCCTGGGGAGACCTTTCCTGGTCTCCATACTTAACCCTTGAACCCTGCCTAATCCATCAGCCGCATCGAATGAACGGTGATAGAGAATGTTTCTCCCTAAAGACAGGCAGCCAGCCTCCCCACTTAAAACTCAGAGAGAAAGCCATCATCAGGGTCTGTTTTCTGTTTGTCAGTGTCGCCAGCTTCTTCACTTACTGATGTTTTTATTGTTGCGGTGCCCAGCTGCTTGAGCCAGGGGAAATGCTATTCAAAAGGAGACATCAATTAAGTGCTTGTTAAATGCTATAGACGCTCTTTTGAAAATGTCCCCTAGGACTCTCCTTGGGAGTTCCCCAAACTAGTGGAGGGCAGTTATCATTTTGGAATAGGGTTTCTCCAAAGTTTTAAAGAACAGCTTCATAACCCACATTCCTATGCACAGCTTTTGGACTCTACTTGAACTTAAAAATTATGACTCTGGAGAATGAAATAGAATACTCTTTATTAGAAAGAACAAGCAATAATAGCCAATAAATATTAAATATATAAATATACTGTTTAAAACCTCCTTACCTCATAACCAAACTGCAGCTCATCAGAGGTCAGCATAATGATATCATCATCAATGGCCAGGACAGCCTCTGTCTCAATTTCGTTGTAAGGGAAGAAACGGTTACTCAACTTGTTTTCAGCCGTCCTCACCACTTTTAATGGAACCCGGATTTTGGGCCAGAGAGACTCTGGAAAAAGAAAACACAAGGTATTTATCTCCAATAAAGTGGTGACGGCACCGCATCATGAATGAATTGGAAGAATCAGTTAAATCCACACGTATAGTATGCAAGGGAAGTCCTTACAGATGCAGCTTTATACTATTTTATAAGGATGTCTGTCCTAAGTCCCTGCAACACTACTAACTCTCATCACTGTCTCTACCAGAACGCACAAACCGGCTCCACTGAGACTGAGACAGGGAAGCAAATGACCACTTGACCACAAACACAATGATAAGAGGAGAAATCGAGTCTGGACTGCCTTTCTCAGGCCCACGGCTTGACTATCAGACTGCTACCACCTCAGCAAATACTTTCTGGTAGGTACACCCCAGCTCTGCTAGGAAACACATGCATGTGCTGAGATGTCTGCCCCGTGTGCCCATCTCTGAAATGCAATCACAAACGGCTATCAAGGCTGCAAAAATCCGCCCCTCACCAAACTTTCACTGAACGGGTTTAGCTTCCTTAACTTAGCACTTTATCCCCTCCACAGCCCCTACCCCATGATTTACCGGCTTTGGTTTCTCATCACGTCCAATTTACAGAGTGAATATCAAATTTCTAGGTTCAATTATGTGGGATTTTCCAGTAAAGACTTGCCTTACACTTTCCTCATTCTACTTTGAAACGATTAAAGCGATTCCACTGCAGTTCCTTTTTTAAAATGCTGCGTTTAGCGTGGCATGAAATTAATACTTCTTTGGTACAGTACCAATGTCTATACATCTCAGGGTCCTTACAGAGGGCAGTTTGTCCTTCACCCACTTGTCAAATGCAAACAGGAAAGCTAGGTGCTATACTGCTTCCAAAAAGTCCATTGAGTAACTGTGCGATGATCTAGTTTTGTGAGTCCTGAAAGCCCCAAGTGCCCATGGCCACTCCAAAGTCACTATACTGCAGAGAAATATGACAGAAGGAAAGACCAGATAAAATATCTCGCATCTGTGTATTCCACAGTAAATCCATGTACCACATTGTTGGGGCACTACCAGGGCCTTGGCAGAAGCCTGCGCAAGTGAGAGGCCCTATGATTAAGGAAGATATTTCAGTGTTAAATAAACTCAGAGTCTAAAAAAGTGGTCAACTCCAAAAGCAGCATACTTGAAAAAGGACTGAACTGGAAACCAAAAATGATCCTACAGGCCACTGTCTTTTAATCACTAACAATAGTTAATGATGGTTTCGCTCCTGACACAGAATTACATGATCAACAACTATCTCTGGAACCAGTGCACTGGCACAGGACCCAGAGAGTGGATACCCAAGTTCTTCATTATCTATAGGATCCTAGGCAAGTCTTTTTCTCAGGGTAAGAATAAGCAGAGAGCGCAAAGGGGGCCTTTATTAAGCAACTAGTATATGCCAGACATGTGAGAGATACAGTATCATTCAAGCCCTGACAGCCCTATGTGGCAGAAATTATTTATAAAGTGGTCTTTACAAGGCTCAGAGAGGTTAAGTAACTTGGTTGGGGTTAAAAGCTAATAAATGGTAAGGCTACTATTTGAATTTAAGTCTGTTTAGCATCAAAGAACAAATAGAAGTGTACAATCTATTGCAGCTTGAAAGTCTCATGTTTCTCTAGATCTGGAACAAAACACTAAGTTCAATAATTTTCTCCAGCAATCGTCTTTATTCTTGTTTGCTTCCCACTCCCATTTCCAGATCAATTAAACTGCTGTCCTAAATCTGCTGTCCAAATCCTTATAAAACATGAATTATCTGTAATATCTAAATTGAACCAACCAGACCAGCAGTTCTCACACTTTTTGGTCTTAGGACTTCTTTGTGCTCTAAAAATGTTTAGAACTCCAAAGAGGATTGTTTATGTGGGACGTGCGTGTACATGCACACACACAAACACACACTTTACTGTATTAGAAATTAAAATAGAGGAAATTTCAAAACACAAGAATACACAAGAACACATTCCATTAGGCATGACAGTGATGATGTCATCCCATGTCACGTAGCTTCTGGAAAACTCCATTGTCCACTTGTGAAAGAACAAAAGAGTAGGAAAGGGAGGTGACTTAGTATTATTATGAAAACAAGTTCAACCTCACAAAGCCCCTGAAAGGATCTTGGGGATGTCCAGGGGTCCCTGGACCACACTTTGAGAACCTCTGTACTAGGCTCTGGGTTCTGACTTGGGTAGCACAATCCAGGGAAAGTCCTAACAAACTGGAAAACAGTTTGGGAGTAGTTACGAGGACAGTGCAGGCACCTGAATCCAGGATTTCTATAGAATGCTTAAAGAAACTGAATGCGCCACTCGTCAACGTGTTGCCTCTCAGCATCCATTTCACCCTTCACTGCCCTGTCTGTGCTGCTGGAACGGGGTCCTGTACGCAGGCCCCCTTGCCAGCTGGCACCATGCTAAGCTTTGTCAGCAGAGGGTGCTGGAGGGACACCGCAGGAGAAGTGGGCTCTTCCAGGTGCGGGTGTGCTTTATTACTTCTTGCTCCTTTAGTACGTGGCCAGCTGACAGGCAGGCAGTGGCATTTATCTCCAGCAAATTTAAGTGGCACCCCAGAGGCAGCTTCCCAGCAGATTCTGCAGACAGTCCAACCAGCTTCCAGGAATTCAACAGCACCTCTGGAGCCAGCTTCCCAGTATTCTATGGATACTCCCAAGGGCAGCTCAGCTGAGGTTCTGCCCATGGGTGGTTTTGAGTGAGCTCCACTGAAGCCCTCAACAGTTTCTCAGCAAGTTCAATAACACACCCTGGGCAGATTCCAGTTGAATTCCCTGGGTATCCAAGGAGACGGCTGGTTTCTTGCAGGCCAGACCTGGCACCTCAGCCAACTTCACCATGCCGGGAGCTACTCGGTCTGAATCTCAGACCTACCAGAGACGGGATGCTCCCAAATTATTCCCTGTAATCTTTAGAGCTCTTTTTACCCCCTAGTCACCAATCTCCTATTACTAGTTAATAACTCTTACGTTAGCCCTGGCCGGTTTGGCTCAGCGGTTGGAGCGTCGGCCTGCGGTACAAAGAGACCCAGGTTCAATTCCTGTAAGGGCACGTACCTCGGTTGCAGTTTGTTCCCAGCCCTGGTTGGGTTGTGCGGGTGGCAGCCACTCGATGTGTCCCTTCACATCGATGTTTCTCTCTCTTTTTCTTCCTCTCTCTCCCTCCCGCTCTATCTGAACAAAAAATGGAAAAATGTCCTCAGGTGAGGATAAAAAAAAAAAAAATAGAAAGCTGTATAAGTAAGGTTTTGAATGCTAAACTAAATCATACTTTCTTGAAATAAAGTATATTTGGAGATTATTAAAGGTTTTTTTTTAAAAAAAAATAATAACTCCTTACGTTAAACTTTTCCTATTCAAGTTACTGTGTGGGGTCTATCTCCTCCCTGGACCTTGACTAACACACTAGGGCTATCAGAAAGGTTATCAGATGAGAAGGGAGTTGTTCTCTATGGTCTCTAAAGTTAGAAACATGACCAACAGCTGGGTGAAAGTTACAAGAAAACTCTTTTAGACTCAAAATAGGTAAGAATTTTCTGATGGTATAAACTGTCCTAAGATGGAATAAAATGCCTTCAGCAACACAATGTACCCCCTTTTTAAAATGCTTTTATTGATTTTAGAGAGAAAAGAAGGGAGAGGTGGAAGAGAGAGAGAGAGAAACATTGATGTGAGAGAGAAACATCGAGCAGTTGCACTAGTACAAACCCCAACCAGGGACTGAACCCAAAACCTGCGTATGTGCCCTGACCAGGAATCGAAACAGCGACCTTTTCAGTGCAAGTGACGACGCTCAACCAACTGAACCACATTGGCCAGGGCTACTCTTTTACTTGAAATGTACTAACTTAGGTCAGTTCTACTTCCCACCAGATGAGAAACCAAACAAGATGCTGCTGAGGTCCCAGGATCACATGAGACAATTACAGATCACAGAAAGAACACAATCTTTGGAAACAGCTTCAAACCCAGGTGTACCCATTACTAGCCATGTGATCTTGAACAACTCAATCATTTTGAACCTGTTTCTTCGACTGTGAAGATGCAATAACAACACCATCTTTCCATGAATGACTGTGAGAATGAACCTGAATGCATTTAGCAGCACAGTGCCCAGCACATGATAGACATCTGCTAAATGTTAGCTGTACTTTCCCTTGAAAGTTTGCATCTATTTAGAGAATGAAAGGATATTTTTGGACTTTGGGTAGTGGTGGCAAGGTGGCACATGTTAGATCTGGTGTATTATTCTGACAGTCCAGTGGCATGCCTCCAGCTTGTATCTTCCATGTCTACTTTTAGATCAACAGAATCCCTGCCACTTCCAGGACTGAGAAAAGCTAACACACTAATGAAACAAAAGAACATGGAACTTCTGCCTGTTAGTTTCACAAAGTAACTAACAGCTCCTCTTTTTGCAGTATGCTCTGAAAACAGGCTGGCTGCTTTGGTTAAGTATAAACATTTCTCTACCCTGGATGGGATGTGAACTTTCACTTGGCGAGTGTGTACAGCATGTTCAAACCACAGACAGCTTTCCATATTCTTTGCCCACATATATCTAAAGAATTAATTACCTGAGACAATGCCCATAAAGAACTAACTGGTCCCTGTAAGGTCTTTGATGGGGAAGTTTTAGAAAGTGATGACGGCCAAAGAGGATGATCTGGGGTGCAGATGGAAACGCAGAGGGTGAATCAGGGCATTTTTTGGGAAATGTGATGACTTTTCCCTGTATTGAGTTAGGCCTGGGTAGCCCAAAGTCAGCTCTGACAAAAGGAGTCTCATCTCAATGGTCAGGTGTCTATGAACCATCATTACCACAAGACTGGGCTCTAAATAGAACTCCCAGTTCTGATTTTTACATTTTAAAATAGAACAGGCCTCTAAGAAAGAGAAATACCATTATTTCAGGCTTTAGCATCCCTTCTGCAGTGGGGGGCAGGGGTGAGGGGGCAGCAATCAAAGAACAAGCATCATAATTACTCCCAGCTCTAAAGCAGATAATTCTGATATGGGATTTTGATTCTGTTTATAAAATCAGGGCAGAAGCATGAGGTAGGAAAGAAAAACATAGATGAGAAAGTTGTTTTTTTCCTTCCATTAGTATTTTCAAAAGAATAGATTTACTTTTTTGTCTCTCTCTGAGTCCTTGACAAGGACCTAGTTCTTTTACATAATCCCAAATTGGAGAACTGACAAGGCATGATGATTTTCCTACTGCTAATTGGTAATCTAAATAGACACAGTAGGGCTTAGTGCAAAGGGCATGAGCTTTAGATCTAGGGAGATCTGTGTTTATTTCTGACTCTGCTATATGCAGTGCTGTGATTCAGAAAAAGTACTCAACTAATCTGTATTTCATTCTTGTAAAAATGGGGATAATACAGTTTTCTCCCAAGTTTTTCATAGGATTAGATATAATATACGCAAAGCACTCAGCGCAGTTCCTATTCCTGGGATATAAAAGTTATACAATACATGGTTATAATAACATCGGATCATTATTTTCACAAATGGATTTTTATAAAGTCTTATGAACTCCAACAACCTGAAGAGGTATAGACAGAAGGCTATGGGAGTGACCCCTTAGGAAGAAGAAGGAAACAGTGTCATAGCCAGAAGTATTCAGGCCCTAAGTCCATTGCTTTTCCTTACTCCTTTAAGCCCTAAATGGAACAGCAGGCCCTGGTATCCTATGTCTCATTCTGTGGCTCTGTAGCTGGCAAAATAGAAATGTCCCCTTTCATTCACACAACAAAGAAATCTGAAATAAAGGATTCTCAAACACACTAAGTTTATGAAAAACAAACAGCTGAGCCAGCTGAACCGATAACTTCACAGTTATGAGCTCTAGTCCAGCTCGAAGGGAAAAAAACCCTCGTTTTAAGGATTTTTTCAAAAATGTGTATTGATTAACGGTTTTCTCCATGTTGGATGCCAAGAGAAACGTGAACTAAGAGAATTTTTCTCCAACCAGGCAAAGGTACCACAAAATGTTCAGGTTGACTGAAGATGACCATAGTTCTATCCTGGCAATCGCTGTCACAACCAACCACAGACCCACAAAATGAGTGATGAGATTATCTCCGTGCAAGCCTTGAGCTCACTTCACGAGTGCTTGGCTGCTTGGTGTCCACCTGGTCCCCCCGACCCTAACTCCCACAGTTGCAGTAAAAGGAAGGCGGCTGCTGCTTCGACGTCCCTGGTGCCTCTTTTGGACTGACCGTCCAGACAGGATAGCCAATCCCATCCTGCTACTAAGAACTAGGAAAGTTGCAAGGTTGAAGCTGGGGGCTCTTGAGATCAAATCAAATTTAAAACTGAAATCAGTTAAAAAAAGAAGGTTGACATCAACCTATCTGAAACGAACAATGGAAAAGCTTCCTTCAAACTGGGGCCAGGGGCCGAGCCAAACCACTCCTGTGTCCATCGAGCCCAGAAACGGGAGAGATGGGGAGGAGGAAGGCAGGGCTTGCCTTTTTTTCTGACAGGGCTCAAAACCAATGTGACGAAAGCTCACTGGAAATTTCTATTGCCTAGTCTAAGTATTTACTTAAACTTCAAACCAAGCAATTTAGACTTAAATGTAACCAAAAAGAAAAAAGTATTTGGTTGGATTGGAAAGTGAAAAAAAGGTGGGGGGGGGGGGCGGTTCTGCCTACACGAATCCTCCCAGCAGCAGACCTGTTAACCACAATATTTATTTTAGTAAATGTAGAGAGAGTGAAAAACATCACTTTTGCCTCTAATATTTCAAAGCCTTGGACTTGCTTTTTAAAAAACATGTATGTCACTAATGCTGCACATGAAAAATCAGATGCCTGTGCTGGCATGAGACCAGAGCGACAGCCCCATTTACCAACTGAACAAACACCCCACAGAAAATTAAACATGGTTCATGTTCTTCCCAAACAACCACACTGCCAGAGCCAGACCCTGACCGAAAACCACTGTTAGAAAAGAGCTGGTCCAGTTTCTGAATGTGTCAAAATTAGGGCCTCATCAGTTGAGGGCTCTTTCCTCCCTGGAGCCAAAATACTTCAAAAATAAACTAAACTCTCGGTCATAAAATTAACCACTACATTTTAGTAGGGTCTACCAAAAATTAAAACGGAATACCCTGCTCTAAACCCTAGGTTTGTGCTATTGCATTTAGCTATGTCGGTGTGGGGGCTTGGACCAAGAGGGAAGGAAAAGATTTCTCCCTTTGTATTGTTTGTAATGAATACTTGCCCAAATGAAGGAACTCAAATTCACAATAAGTAATTCACCTCAAGCCCAAAGAGGCTCAGCACGCTCCCTAAGAGAAGCCTCCTTTGCATTTCGCACCAGGCTCTGCAGCTCCGCCACTGGGGGCAGGAGGGTGCCCAGAGGTTCTGAAGGCTGGTGGCCTTCGTGAGCAGTGAGTGCAAGAGCATGAATGCAGCCTGACACAGGTGCTTGGAGGAGGGACACACAGTCCCCTTCTAACATGATCCATCTTTTATAGATGAAGAGACTAATGAGCAATTCGGCACCATCCAGTCCACGCCACCTTGAGGGGAAGGGATGTACTGATGAATCCAGGTCAGCAGTCAGAGGTCCTCCCAGGCCCCTCCTCCCAGCTCCTTTGGTCTTCTCTACCTTTCCCAGCCCGGCAGTCTCTTCCTCCTGCCTTCTTAGACGGCGCCAACACCTCCCTTTTTCTTCTACCCTTTTCTTTCTCCTTTACTAAGCATCAAGCAAAACAAAATTAGATGTTAAGAAGAAAAAACTTGACATAAAAAAAGAGTTATCAAAAAGATAATTTTTAAAAAAGCAGTGTGCTTTTTTTTAATCTAAAATGTGACCTTTACCTAAAATGCTATTTTGTTTACTCACACACTATGGCTCCCTAGATCTAAAAAGAAAGTACATGATTCTCTCAGAGAACAAAAATGCCACTAAGTGAAACATTTTAAACATCTCAGGAGGAACTAAAGAATTTTCTTGAAACAATTTCAGATTTGCCTAACAAACAGAAATATGGTCTTTCCCAGCCTAGACTCTAGATCTACTGGCAGTGTCCAGACTTGACTGCCCCAATGTCAGTATAACCAACGAAAAGGGAACAGCCATAAAAAGCAGATACTACTGTCAGGCAATAAACTAGACCTTATCGGTGATAGTGGTGCACATTACAAACTTCAAACTCATTCCTTACTCTAATCCATCAGAAACTTCCTGGCTTTAATAGGCTATAAAGGGCAGGAGCTTTGAAGTCCCTGGGATTAGAATCAGTAATAGACGGACTGAATGAGAAACTAAATGCAGGTGAAACATACTCTCTGCATTCTGAATTAAAAACAAATCCAACTCATCAAACAGTCCTGGACCCTAGCTGCAGGCCAGCAGATTGCAAGGGTGGCCACAGCACAGAACAGCGTGATTATGGGGGAGCCCATGGGAAGCTCCAGCGGGTGCTCACCTAGCAACTGATTCGAAGTCGGGGAGGGCATGTTTTGCTGACTTTCCCAGTCAGAGGTGAGGCCATCTTTTCTTTTTTTGAAGAGTACAGTATCAGAGCCAAGATAAGGAAGGAGAAAACTAATGCCTTTTAAACTGAGTTTTCATGTAAACAAATCAGCTGAGAGGGCTGAGGGAAGCTGAAATCTGTTTTCCCAAGGCGGATGGCCTTTGATCCTACTGATTCCTAAGCCCTCCAACACTTGTGGCTACAGAACAAGCCATAGACTTGGAGTTACATGGGCCACCCTAGAACAAGAATGAAATGATTGATAAAATTGGGGTCATGCTGCCTCAGTAATGGCATTATTGCCAACAAAGTGGGGAAATTCATTTAAAACAAAGTATGCAAATAACATGACTAGCCATAATGGATCCAGCTCAGTCACACTCACACCCAAAACACACCGTTCCCCTGATCTTCTTACCTTCTGGAGGGCTTTTATTCTGATTATTCCAGACGACTAGCAGCTTGGATAGACTGGGCACCTTGGACAGTTCAGTGATGACCCGAAAGAGACTCTCCACTCGGTCGTAGGTGAGGACAATGGCAGTGAAACCTTGAGACTGTGGTGGGATCAGGGGGAGGAAGAGTGGGTTGCTCACACTACTCCACTTCTGCAAGGAAACAGATTAATGTGGGTCAGAGAAGTATCTAGTAACAACGGGGCTGATCACTTTCCCAGCATCATCAATAAACCCACATGGGAGGTCTGGTGACTTTTACCTTCACCAATCCCAGTGCTAAGCAACTGTTCAAAGTCCGTCCTTCCTGAAAATTCACACTGACTCTGTAATTCAGTTTGGTTCCAATACCATTAAAAACAGAGCAGAGCCTGGCTGGTGTGGCTCAGAGGATTTAGCATCTCCCATGGAATGAGAGGTCCCAGTTCAATTCCCGGTCAGGGCACATGCCGGGGTTGTGGGCTTAATCCCCAGTGGGAGGCGTGCAGAAGGCAGCCAATCGATGTTTCTCTCTCATGGATGTTTCTCTCTCCCTTCCTCCCTCTCTAAAAAAAAACAATAAAAACATATTTAAAAAAAACAACCACCAAAAAACGGAGCACAGAATTTTTGCAGCTGAGGAGAGATTTCTAGTTAAACATGGGAGATTAAACCCATACATTAATCTCTATTCCCTTCCCAAACACACTAAAATAACAGTTAACAAATGTCACATACAAATCTATAATGACAAGGAAACGGGAAAGCAGCTGATGAGCAATGTTAACATGTTCCTGAAAGAGGCCAGAGAGGTGGCAACAGAGCAGGAGAGCAGAAATCTAAGTACCTGCAAGGGGGAGCGAACCAGGTTCAAGGTCAAATTGCTCAGGAGTTGAGTTCAGAGGGCACCTTGTGAGGGTAAGAGGAGGGGTAGGGTCGAAAGGAGGAGGACTGGTTAAAACACACGTAAGGAGCAGCAAGAGACTCAGCCTCACCAACCTTCCCTTCACCCAGCCACTCAGCCAGACACTCCTCTCCCCACCCCCGCCGGACAAAGAGGTGTATTCTCTGAGGATGCTGAAGGTCCAGACATGGAAACACGGGTACGGCTGAGAGGAACCTGCAGGTGACAAACTCTGTTCTGAATGAGAGCCCTACAGCCTTTATCCCTGCAGCTCCCAAAACGCCTGCGCCGTGGGGCAGCGTGCCACTCTGTGGTCTACAGCAAAGCTCCCAGCGAGCCTGCCCGCACACAGAGCGCTTCTGACCGAGTTCTCAGTGCTTCTTCATCATGAGCAGATCCCGGAACCACAGACATGTCAAGAACATCTTCAGCATGAACGACAGAGACCAAACGAACAAACAGATAAACAGGAACTCAGAAAAACAGAGACAAGAGAAACACAAGGAAATGAAAGCAACGTCAACAAATTATATCCTCAAAGAGAGATTTTTCATCCATGAAATAAGAATAAATTGTTATTTTTATTTTAAAAGATCTATAAAGAGCAGGGGAGAACTCTTAGACATTAAAATGTGCTAGCTTAAAGTTATGTAAAAGGCAGGATTGAGAGGTAAAGATGATAACATAAATTCAGTATGGTGAACAAAAAGATGAAAAACAGGAGAGAAAAGACGAGAGAATCTAGAAGGTCCAATATCCATCTAATAGGAGGTTCCTAAAAAAGCAAAACACAGAACACAGAAGAAAAAGAACTATCAAAGAAATTAAATAAGTTCTCAGAACAAAATATATGAGACATGAATTTTCAGATTGAAAGCGTCCAATAAGTAATGAGTACACCGAATTAAAAAAAGACAAAAACCTAAACAGAACAACGAAACCAAAACCACAGCATATCAAAGCGCATCACTTCTGAACGCTGGTAATAAAGAGTGTGAATACATCGAGTGTGTGTATCTAGGTGATGAGCATGGGAGTTCGCTGAACACCCTCGCAACTTATAGCTCTGTGAGTTTGAAATTTTTTCAAAAAAGCTTAAAAAGTAATTCAGGAAATTTGATTTCTTTGATACCATTAAAATGTTAAGCAATTTTTAATGTAGCAATGTAAGCTAAAGTATTTTTGTATTGATAATAGAAAAATATTGTTAGATCATTCTTATATTTTAAAACAGTTTTACTGAAATAATTTATATACTATATCATCTACTCATTTAAAGTATACTATGGTTTTTAATATATTATAGTTTGTAAAAACTATGGTAACATATAACATGAACTTTGGTATTGTAACTATTTTTAAGTACAATTCAGTGGAATTAAGTACATTCACGTTCACATGTTATTATGTGAAAAGCCCAGGACCTAATTTCATCTTCGCCAGAAGGTGGTTGAGTATGAAATGTCCTACCTGTTATCCTGGCTGCTTACACTTCCCTAGCGTCTTTCATAATCTGGGATTCCCAAGGTTCCTTGTCAACCTCATCCATATCACTGATGGACACCCATCACCACGTGTATGACAACAGCTGTTTGCCAGATGGACAGGAAATGTACACAAACACATGGAATACACATGGGATGGGAACTCAAGGAGACTGCATGGTTTTCCTGGAGCCCTAATGTAATCAGGATATTAAAATCAAAATGTCCACAAAAGGCCATAATTAGATTTCATAACTGAGAGACACAACAGGAAAGGCTATCTTCTTAATGCTGACTTTCTGTTTCCATGAATCACACTTTGACATTAAGCTGTAGTCTTAGAAAGGTGCCTGGATTTTAGTATTTGTGCCCTAGCATCTGATTACATTTGTAGAAACCCCTTTTAGCTTTCTTCCCAAACCTTATTCTTCATATCTTTCTGACTTTTATAGAAACTGAAGTCAGTAAGTAGCCCTGTGCTTAAGTCATAATTAATCCTCAGGGTTCACCCTCTGCCATCACCATCCCAACCCACTCATCTATTCCTCTATAAACAATACTCTCTTATGCTTCAAAAACAGTTTAAATGAAAAAGAAAGACAAATATTTTTTTTGTCCTCACCCGAGGATATGTTTATTGATTTGAGAGAAAGAGGAACACTGATGTGAAGAAAAACATCAATTTTTTTTTTTTGGTTGCCTTCCATATGCACCCCGACTGGGAATCAAACCTGCAACCTAGGTATGTGCCCTGACGGGGAATCAAACCCATCCTGAAACCTTTTGGTGTAGAGGACAATGCTCCAATCAATTGAGACACCTGGCCAGGGCAGAAAAAATACTTTTTAAAGAAGTGTGTAAAATAATTTAATGTGTGATATATAAACAGTCAAGATTTACTGAGCACATACTTATGGAGTATTAGGCACTATGCTGTACATGTATTATAACATTTGAGCCTTACAACAACCCCCAAGGTAGATACAGTCATTATCCTCATTTTACAGATGATGAAACTATAAAATCAGAAATAGTGAATGATGTCTAATCATTTGCTTTAGCAGTCGAAGGCAGGCAGACAGGCAGGCAGGCAGGAAGGGGAAGGAAGGAGAAGGGAAGAAGAATAAATGATGTTCAAGGTTACATAGCATGTAAGTGACAGACGCTGGAAATAGCCCAAGTGTTTGACTCCAGAAATCCAAATGGTGTTGGTTCATTGCCCTCCTACTCCAAGCCCAGGGTAAAACATCACCATTTTATAGACTTTGGAAACTGGAACTGTGGGTAACTCCAGAGTTCATTATTTCTAGCTCTTCTCTGAGACAAAAATGCTAACAGTTCTTTATCCTTGATAATAAAAACTGAGTCAGTGAGCAAAAGCCCACCCCACAACTATAATTTCAGAGGGTATGTGAAATAAAAACACACCAACTATAAAACACTGACACAAAGAGAGCACATCAATTTAAAAAGGTAAATACACCTCTGACACAGAGGGAAAACCATTAAAACACCAACAAAATAAGGTCTGTTCTTTGGGAGAAGCAGGGAACACTAACATACTTGAATGCCTTTGTGACATTAAAAGGAGAGGAAAATTCCCCGAGAGATGAAAAGCTTGGCTTCAGAAAACGAATCCCTGGGGACCTAAACTGAGGCGCCCCCTGAAAGGCACCACAGCTCTGATTTCAAGACCTTCCCAGGCAGAAGGGACCAGAGTCTCTGGCAAGACAAGGACCTAGACTCAGCCCATATGCCAAGTGGACGGTTCTGCAGGGAGGAGGAGAGGAAGGGACGGGCGAGTGAGAAGCAGACAGTTACTCCTCGTGGTGTTCAGTTTTTCCACACTACTCACTTGCACACCAAATAGGGCCTGAAAACTGGAGAAGCAGAAAAGACCACATACTGAGGAGACAGAGCATGTCCAGGAGCATAACAAGGACTGAACTCTTGCCATCCATTCCCCATACAATGCAGACATTGAGATGAACGCGGAGGCCACACGGAGGCACTGAGTATATATTCACTCTAACACAGGCTCGATGCTTTACTGCAGGGTTCCTTCCAGGGCTGATGCACAACTTCAAAAAGTGAGTCGGCGTGTTGAGAGTCGGTTTGGGGATCGTGAGGCCTTACTCTGAACCCAGTTTCTTTCACTTAAACCTGCAGTGTGACCTGGGCAATGTACTCAGTGCCTCTCTTGCACTTCAGTTTCTTTTTATCCTCACCCGAGGACACTTTTTTCCATTTTTTGTTCAGATAGAATGGGAGGGAGAGAGAGGGGGAGAAAGAGGGAGAGAAATAATTGACGTGAAAGGGACACATCGAGTGGCTGCCACCTGCACGACCAACCAGGGCCGGGAACAAACTGCAACCGAGGTACGTGCCCTTAGCGGGAACCGAACCCGGGTCTCTCTGGACCGTAGGCCGACACTCTAACCACTGAGCCAAACCAGCCCGGACACACCTCAGTTTCTGTATGATAATATTACTAATGTTCTAGATGATACGACTTGACATTGTAATAATTACTTAATTATTCTCACTTCTTAATTATTATTTAACAGCCCAGAGGTTGTTAATAAAAGTAAGTAGGTATATATGCAAAGTACCTGGCATGTACAAACATTCGAAAAATGACAGCCAACAGTTGACCTTGTGCGAGTAACAATCTTTCTGGGCTTTTCTTTCTGCATGTCTCAGACACGGGGTGGGCAGCAGCCAAGCATCCTGAGGTATCTTCCAGCACCAGGAATTCTAACTAAATGAAATGCTTTGCTGCTTTT